CCCGGGTACAAGCTGCTGAAATGGGCTTTCTTGGACGAGTCGCTGGCTTTACGCGTCTCGACATGGTCCGAAATAGCGACGTCCGGAAGAGCCTTGGAATACAGCCTTTGCTTCTCCAGATTGAGAAGTCACAGCTGCAATGGCTTAGGCATGTGTTGCGAATGCCTCTACAAAGGAAGGCTAAGCAACTGTTCCTTGCAAATCCGACCGGCAAAAGGCCCAGGGGACGGCCAAGATTAACCTGGTGCAACCATATTTAAGGAATCTGTTCCAGACTACATTTGTCTTTTGCCGAAGCTCAGACTCTGGCACAGGATCGGCAACGTTGGAATCACTGTCTGACGCGTCTGCCTCCGCGACCCGAAAGGAGAAGCGGCGATGGAAGATGAATGAAGATGACCACAATGAATGTTCAAATTATAGGGACATTACGTTATTGAGCCTTTCAGGTAAGGTCTACGCAAAGGTGCTAGAAAGGAGGTTTCGGGAAATCGCTCAAGATCCAAGAAGAGCAGTGTTTTTTCCGGCCCGGTCGAAGCACCTGTGACCATATATTTGCCCTGCGCCAGATTGTTGAGAAATGGTGGGAGTACGCCCGTCCGGTGTATGTATTTTGTGGACGTAGACCTATGACCGGATCCCATGCAACAGTCTGTGGACATGTCTTCGAGCATATGGTATAGATGACCAGCTGCTTAGGGCCATCCAATCACTGTATTCTGATAGCAGGTGCTGCGTCAGAGTAAATGACAATAAGTCGAAAACATTTAACGTTCGCACTGGTCTCCACCAAGACTGTTTACTGTCCCCTCTCCTGTTTATTTTGTTCATGGATAGAATAGAGACACAGTCAGAGAGATTAATGTAACAGCGTTTGCTGGCTCTTCAGAAACTGATCTGCAACGCTCTGTGGAAAGGTTCGCAGGCGAATCGAAGTGGCCGCTATGCCTGTGAACCCGTGTAAAGCCTGAAGCCTAATGCTTTGTCGTTCTTCTGCCTACTGTTCACCTTAGAACGTGGAGAAGTAGTGCAGCAGGTTGGCAAGTTAGAGCATCTCGGAGTCGTGTTTACAGTAGGTTGAAAATGGGAGGAAGAGGTCGATCGGCTGATCTGAATTGGCAGTGGCATTCTGAGTGAACTATCCTGAACGGTTATGATTAAAGCAGAGTTTAATCTGAAGACTAAGCTGTCGGTGATAAAATCGGTCTTTATCTCCATGGTGGCCTGCGATCATGAGTCGTGAGCCATGACTGAAGATTGCTGAAGT